GGTCAGGGCAAGAATGTTACGGTTCTTTGTGGACCACAGTTTCATGAGGACTAGTACATACCAAGCCTCAAAGTATCCCCCACAAACCACCAAAGGAAAAACAGTAACTTTTAAGTGGGCGAATCTGCAGACACCACGTTAACCGAGAGATGGGAATTAGTGCCACGGGTAACGGGGCAGGCGGCCACGTGCCTCCTGACGTGGTGCCCGGAGCAGCACACACCAACACCCCTTTCCGCCCCAACTGCGTTTCCTAACCACGATCACAGGGACATGCCCGACAAACCCACGCTGAGGCGATGCTACAAATAAACGGCTTGCCATTCCCCAACATGCCAACGTCACGAGAGACAACGAAATGCTAGGAAATGCTCCGGTTCAATGAGAACAGAGACCGAGACACCAAGTGCAATGAATGGCTCTGGGCTGGATCCTGGGCCAGAAGAAACACTATAACGCACATCGCTGGGAAAACCAGAGAAATCTGAACGTGGACTGAGAACTGTGTTAGGGAACTGTATTATGTCAGTGTTAAATGTCCTCAATTCAGTAACTGAAATTCCCCCGGAACTATGGGAATGCCCTTGGTCTTGGAAAACACACATCAAAGTGTTACGTGGTAAAGGGCGTGACACATACAACTTATTCTCGAACAGTTCGGAAAAGAGTAACATAATCCCACAGGATAACCGAGCACGTGTGGCAGAGAGTTAATAAGTGGTGTATCTTGCCAACGGGTATATGGGAACTTTCTGTATCATTAATGCATATAAATAAATCTGAAATTATTTCCAAATAAGACCTGAAAAAATTTAACATTTGAACATGACATTCTTTTTTAAAAAATATATTTTGATTTTTTTTACAGAGAGGAATGGGGAGGGATAGAGAGTGAGAAACATCGATGGGAGAGAAACATCAATCAGCTGCCTCCTGCACACCCTCTACTGGGGATGTGCCCACAACCAAGGCACATGCCCTTGACGGGAATCGAACCCGGGACCCTTCAGTCCGCAGGCCGACGCTCTATCCACTGAGCCACACCGGCCAGGGCTGAACCTGACATTCTAAGGATTCTGCATACCTAATAAAGGAGCCAGAATTCCTATCATCTCCACACACGCAACAGCAATGGAGTATAAGAAGCGGCGCTCTTGTTCCAAACACCCCGTGCGGGGTCAGTGCCGGGTGGGACTCTGTGGACCTGAGTCACGTCCATGTCCAGCTCCTCCCACCCTTGTTACGTCTGCAGCTTCCGCAAACCGCGCTGCCGCTGAAGGGACCGACTTCTCTACCCGGACACGCTGGCCCTCCAAATTACCTTCTGGTTCCGCCAGGGAGCAGACAGGAGAGATCACTCCCACAAGGAAAACGGGCAGACAAAACTCGGAAACGCCAGAAAGAGGCCGAGGAAGCGCCCACTCACTACAGGCATCGATGTCTCCACCCGGAGACCCCCACGCCAATGGGTCCACCCACACTTCCCAGTGGCAGGAACCCATGAAATGAAGGGGGGAAAACAGAGAGAGGACATGACTGAAAGAACATGCGAGACTTTTCTATGAAGAAGCAGAGCCGGCCCGGCCGGGGTGGCTCAGGGTTGAGCGCCCACCTATGAAGCAGGAGGTCACAGTTTGATTCTGTCAGGGCACAGGCCCGGGTTGCCGGCCCGGTCCCCAGGGGGGACATGCAGGAGGCAGCCGATCCATGATTCTCACTCCCTCCCCTCCCCCTTCCTCTCTGAAATCAATAAAAAAAAATTTTTTTTTTAAAGAAGAAAAGCCGCCCTGGCCAGTTTGGCTCAGTGGATAGAGCGTCGGCCTGCGGACTGAAGGGTCCCGGGGTGGATTTGGGCCAAGGGCACGAGCCCGGGTTGCGGGCTCCATCTCCCCCCGCTACCCCCAATTGGGGGCGTGCAGGAGGCAGCCGATCCATGATTCTCTCTCCTCATTGATCTTTCTCTCTTTCTCTCTCTCTCTTCCTCTTTGAAATGAATAAAAGTATTTTTTAAAAAGATTGACTTTAAAAAAAGAAAATAGCCTTCCATGTACATTAGAGCGGAGGCCCCGCCCCCAGGTACTGCAGACACATCCACACAACGACGTGTCCTCGACTTTTCATAGGGGCCTGGCCTGAAGGGCCAAGAACTAGGAACATCCCAATGCCCACCGAACGGAGGTGCATCCCCAACTGTGACCTCTCCACCCACCGAGCCCTCCTTCAGCCACGGCCAC